GTCCCTCGTCCCCACCAATCGCGCTTGCAATGGAGGTGGGAGCGCAAGCAGGGCCTCTCCAGATGATCGAAGGGGTCATGTGGGTTCGTACACAGAAATGCGGTCACGCAGGTAGGCGAGTCCCAAACCGTTCAGGGCTTTGTAGGTGAGCACCTGCACCTTGAATTGGGACCGGAAAATGAACGGCAGCCAATGGAGCCCCTTGAACAGAAGGATTGACCTCTCCTTGTAAGGAGCACCAGTTAACAACCTGGCGGCCGCCCGTTCATCCAATTGAAATTTCTGGGCCGTTTTCAAGGGCAGCCCCACGTAGAGTGCATTACAGTAGTCCAATCTGGAGGTGACTAAGGCATGGACCACCCTGGCCAGATCGGCCTTCTCACAGACTGAGACCTTTCTTCCACTAACACAGAGGTCTACACACCTGCTTGTATGGCTTTTTCTGAGTCATCGCATCCATTTAACCCTTTCAGTGCTTGACTCACATTTTTGCAATTAAAAATGGTTAGTTAATTTTTAATATTTATTTATTTAATTTATTTAAAACCTTTATATTCTGCCCTTCTCACCCTGAAAGGGACTCAGGGCAGAGCACAGCATACATACGGCGAACATTCAATGCCGGGACTCATAATGTTTATGAGTATGCATAAACATTAAAAATATTTATCAAAATATTAAAATGCCAGTGAAGGTTGTATTGGAAATTACTTCTCGTCTTAAGTAGCTGATCAAGAAGAAAAGGCGCTCAAGTATATCTTTTTAATCCACCTTGCAGTAAAACTGGTCATATCCTGGGATGACATCTCCAGACTCGAAAAAACGTCGAATGTGATCCTGACGGAGAGCATCCACGTCTGTTCCCGTGGGGAAGATCACTACTTTTCCATGTTCCTGCACATCGGCGAAACGTTCCTCCTGATGGAGCAGCTGGCGCTGTATGCTGTCCGCAGGCTTTTCGACAAGGAGACCTTTGAAGGCGACCCGGTCCTCCACGATCCTTTGCAAATCACCAAGAGGTACTGCCTAATCTAGTCCCATGGATAATAGGTGTCACGTTGCCAGGGCTCTGCCTTATTTAGGTAGAGATGAATCAAACTCCCAGTTTTATCAAACAGTTTGATTAAAACAGCACTGACTTGCTGACTGTTTTATAGACCAAAATATAAAACATAAAGATAGCACTCAGCTACAGAATAGACAAAAACTGATAGCAAAAATACTTACTTTACTTAGGCGATCCCTCGTTGGACGAGTAAGATGGTCTTCCTTGATGACTATTTTTGTGGGTTTGTAGGTGGCTGTGGAGCCCTCTTCTTGACCCACATCTTCTCCCACAGTGAAGGCATTGGTTTCCAGGTGGAAGGCGGTCCCGGTCGGGGTTGGCTTGACGCACCTTCCTCCTGGCACGCTTCTCTCTATCACCCTTCACTCGTGCCTCCTCGAATTCTGCAGCACTGCTGGTGACAGCTGACCTCCAACTGGAGCGCTCAAGGGCCAGGGCTTCCCAGTGTCTATGCCGGAGTCTTTAAGGTTGGCTTTGAGCCCATCCTTAAATCCCTTTTCCTGCCCACCAACGTTCCATTTTCTGTTCTTAAGTTCAGAGTAGAGCAACTGCTTTGGGAGACGGTGGTCAGGCATCCAGACAACATGGCCGGTCCAGCAGAGTTGATGGCAGAGGACTATCGCTTCAATGCTGGTGGTCTTTGCTTCTTCCAGCATGCTGACGTTTGTCCGCTTGTCTTCCCAAGAGATTTGCAGGATTTTCCAGAGGCAGCGTTGATGGAATCGTTCTAGGAGTTGTATGTGACATCTGTAGACAGTCCACGTCTCACAGGCATATAGCAGGGTTGGGAGGACAATAGCTTTATAGATAAGCACCTTGGTATCCCTACAGATGTACCGGTCCTCAAACACTCTCTGCTTCATTTGGGAAAATGCTGCACTTGCAGAGCTCAAGTGGTTTCGGTGTCGATGTATTTCGGTGTCGATGTTGACTTTGGTGGAGAGGGGGCTGCCAAGGGAGCAGGAATGGTCAACATTTTCTAATGTTACATCATTAAGTTGTATCTCTGGCATTGAGGAGGGGGTGGCTGGTGACTGCTGGAACAGCACTTTGGTTTTCTCGGTGTTCAGTGACAGGCCAAGCTTCGTGTATGCTTCTGCGAAAGGTGTTTAGAGTGGCTTGTAGGTCTTCTGAATGTGCACAGACGACATTGTCATCAGCATACTGGAGTTCTATAACAGATGTTGTTGTAACCTTGGTTTTGGCTTTCAAAACTGTTTTAATAGACCAATAAAACAGCCAAAACTGTTTTAATAGACCAAAATATAAAACATAAAGATAGCACTCAGCTACAGAATATACAAAAACTGATAGTCAAAAGGGTCCAGTCCAGTGGTCAAATGCTGAGAGTTCAATAACAGAGTCCAGGGATCAAGAGTATACCGTAGTCAAAAGCCAGTCCAAAGGTTCAAGGTTGCAGGGTTCCAAGATTACAGGAGAGAGGTCAGGATACCAAAAATCCAACAAACCTGGGGGGAAAACCAGCAGCGTCCACCACCAAAATGCAAACAGATACTTATCTCCCTAAAGATCAGTCTCAAGGTTAGCTCCTTAAATCCAGTAACACCCAACTGCAACCCATCTCCTACACACCTCCACCCCTAATTGCTTTCACCCATGAACTCCCATTTACAGATTACTAAACCCTCTAGAACTAATACTCACATTAACCCTTCCATCACCAACCTCCATCAACTGCAGAACATATGACAATAGGTACACTCGTCTGGGCACATCACCCATGAACTCCCATTTACAGATTACTAAACCTTCTAGAACTAATACTCACATTAACCCTTCCATCACCAACCTCCATCAACTGCAGAACATATGACAATAGGTACACTCGTCTGGGCACATTGCTAAACGGTCTATCTATCTCTCTATCTTCTCTGATGAAAAGAATGTTGTTGCTGTTGATCTGACAAACGCCCCTTTTGTTGTGCTGCCCAGGGGCCTTGAGAGCAGAGCTCACAGCGAGCAATTCAACGCCTTCTTCCGCTTGCCCAAGGAGGAGTCGTTGCGAGAGGTGCACGAGTGTTTCTTATGGGTGCCTTTCAGCCACTACAATACTCTCGGGAAAATGTGCATTTCGGAAAATTACGTCTGCTTTGCCAGCCAGGACGGGTCCTTGTGCTGCGTCATCCTCCCCCTCAGAGAGGTGAGCTGAAGTCGGGGTGAGACCTTCAGAAGACCCACTTTTCCTTCGGGACTTAAAGGCGGTTTTAGTGAACTCTTTGTCCGAAATATTAAACATTAAGTGTGAGTAAAACACTGAAAGAGTGAGTAGGCCGAAGCCTGTTAGAGTCAGTGGGCCAAAGCTGATGTTGTCCTGAAGAGAGTGAGTGGACCAAAGCCTGTTAGTGTGAGTGATCCAAAGCTTGTGTTGTCCTGTTGAAAGCGAGTAGGTAGAAGCCTGTTAGAGTCAGTGATCCAAAGCTTGTGTTGTCCTGTTGAGAGTGAGTATGCCAAAGCCTGTGAGTCTGTGGCCAAAGCTGGTGTTGTCCTGAGGAGAGTGTGTAGGCCAAAGCTTGTTAGAGTCAGTGGTGAAAGCTAGTGTCGTCCTGAGGAGAGTGTGTAGGCCAAAGCCTGTTAGAGTCAGTGGACTGATGCTAGTGTCGTCCTGTTGAGAGCAAGTAGGCTGAAGCCTATTAGAGTCAGTGGACCAAAACTAGTGTTGTTCTGAGGAGAGTGAGTAGGCCGAAGCCTGATAGTGGCCAAAGCTAGTGTCGTCCTGAAGAGAGTGAGTAGACCAAAGCCTATTAGAGTCAGTGGACCAAAACTAGTGTCGTCCTGTTGAGAGTGAGTAGGCCAAAGCCTGTGAGTCAGTGGCCAAAGCTAGTGTTGTCCTAAGAAGAGGGAGTAGGCCAAAGTCTGTAAGAGTCAGTGGGCCAAAGCTAGTGTTGTCCTGAGCAGAGTGAGTAGTCCGAAGCTTTTAAGAGTCAGTTGGCCGAAGCTAGTGTCGTCCTGAGGAGAGTGAGTAGGCCAAAGCCTATTAGAGTCAGTGCCCAAAGCTAGTGTTGTTTTGAGGAGAGAGTGTAGGCCAAAGCTTATTGAGTCTGTGGCTAAAGCTAGTGTCGTCCTGAGGAGAGTATGTAGGCCAAAGTTTGTTAAGAGTCAGTGGCCAAAGCTAGTGTCGTCCTGGGGAGAGTGTGTAGGCCAAAGCTTGTTAGAGTCTGGCTAAAGCTAGTGTTGTCCTGGGGAGAGTGAGTAGGCCGAAGCCTGTTAGAGTCAGTGGGCCAAAGCTAGTGTCGTCCTGAGGAGAGTGAGTAGGTCCAAACTTGTCAGAGTCAGTGGCCAAAGCTAGTGTCGTTCTGAGGAGAGTGTGTAGGCCAAAGTTTGTTAGAGTCAGTCGCCAAAGCTAGTGTCGTGCTGAGGAGAGTGTGTAGGCCAAAGCTTGTTAGTCAGTGTCCAAAGCTAGTGTCATACTGGGGAAAGTATGTAGGCCAAAGCTTGTTAGAGTCAGTGGACAAAGCTAGTGTCGTCCCGAGGAGAGTGAGTAGGCCAAAGCCTGTTAGTCAGTGGCCAAAGCTAGTGTTGTCCTGAGGAGAGTATGTAGGCCAAAGCTTGTTAGAGTCAGTGGCCAAAGCTAGTGTCATCCTGGAGAGAGTGAGTAGGCCAAAGCCTGTTAGTCAGTGGCCAAAGCTAGTGTTGTCCTGAGGAGAGTATGTAGGCCAAAGCTTGTTAGAGTCAGTGGCCAAAGCTAGTGTTGTTCTGAGGAGAGTGAGTAGGACAAAGTTTGTTAGAGTCAGTGGCTAAAGCTAGTGTCGTCCTGAGGAGAGTGTGTAGGCCAAAGCTTATTGAGTCAGTGGCTAAAGCTAGTGTCGTCCTGAGGAGAGTGTGTAGGCCAAAGTTTGTTAGAGTCAGTGGCCAAAGCTAGTGTCGTCCTGAGGAGAGTGAATAGGCCAAGCTTGTTAGAGTCAGTGGCCAAAGCTAGTGTTGTTCTGAGGAGAGTGAGTAGGTCAAAGCTTGTTAGAGTCAGTGGCCAAAGCTAGTGTCATCCTGGAGAGAGTGAGTAGGCCAAAGCCTGTTAGTCAGTGGCCAAAGCTAGTGTTGTCCTGAGGAGAGTATGTAGGCCAAAGCTTGTTAGAGTCAGTGGCCAAAGCTAGTGTTGTTCTGAGGAGAGTGTGTAGGTCAAAGCTTGTTAGAGTCAGTGGCCAAAGCTAGTGTTGTTCTGAGGAGAGTGAGTAGGTCAAAGCTTGTTAGAGTCAGTGGCCAAAGCTAGTGTCATCCTGGAGAGAGTGAGTAGGCCAAAGCCTGTTAGTCAGTGGCCAAAGCTAGTGTCGTCCTGAGGAGAGTGAGTAGGCCAAAGCTTGTTAGAGTCAGTGGCCAAAGCTAGTGTCCTCCCGGGGAGAGTGAGTAGGCCAAAAATGCCTTGCATAAGATTTAACTTCCCCATTTGCCTGTAGGTTGTAGCCGTGGAGGTTGCTGACCCGGCCAGCAAAGCGATCAGCATCGCAACCAGAGGGAAAAGGGCCTTCCGCTTCTCCGAAGTGAGGGATTGGGAGCATTTGGTGCCAAAGCTGAAGGGCCGCTGCGATGCAGCAGCGAGTCCCCAGCATGCTGCGAGTGTCGAGGTAAAGTCTGAACGTGTTTGATTGTTTCTTTTCCTCCCCCATTCTGGAAAAGAGCTTTTTGTGCTCACCTCCTGTTGCAATTGCCCCTGGCAGGTCTCCATCGGCCCAAACCCAGATCCCGTCTTGGAGGATTATGAGGGTCAGCCCATGGCAAGCCTCAAGGGCAACAGCAAGATGGTCAGCACAGAAGCCCTCATGACTGTCTTCCACCCTCAGGATGCCGAGAACCTGGATGCGAAAATGGTGAGCAGGAAGAGTGTTGGGATGAGGGTTGCTAAAATGGATTTCTCAAGGTCAAGATGAGAGGAAGGAAGGAAGGAAGGAAGGAAGGAAGAGTGAGAAGGAAGGAGGGAGAGAAAAGGAGCAAGGAAGGAGAAAGGAATGTGGATAAGATAAAGTGTAATCATTATATAATAATAACAATAATAATAATAATTTATTGACAGTATTTCTATTCCACCCTTCTCACCCCTCAGGGGACTCGGGGCGGATTACAATGTACACACATATATGGCAAACATTCAATGCCAAAGACACACAACAGGTATAGACAGACAGTCAGAGGCTATTTAACTTTTCAAATGCAAGATACTCCAAAATGCAAGGATACAGAATGGGGGACAATGAGGCCTGGCTCGAGAGCAGGACGTGGGAAAAAGCCCTTGGAGTCCTCGTGGACAACAAGTTAAACATGCGCCAGGAAAGTGATGCGGCGGCAAAAAAAGCCAATGGGATTTTGGCCTGCATCAATGGGAGCCTAGTGTCTAGATCTAGGGAAGTCATGCTCCCCATGCTCTATTCCGCCCTGGTTAGACCACACCTGGAATATTGTGTCCAATTCTGGGCACCACAATTCTTGACTCTAAGCTGGAATGTGTCCAGAGGAGGGCGACCAAAATGATCAAGGGTCTGGAGAACAAGCCCTATGAGGAGCGGCTTAAGGAGCTGGGCATGTTTAGCCTGAAGAAGAGAAGGCTGAGAGGAGATATGATAGCCATGTATCAATATGTGAGAGGAAGCCACAGGGAGGAGGAGGGAGCAAGCTTCCTTTCTGCTTCCTTGGAGACTAGGACGCGGAACAATGGCTTCAAACTACAAGAGAGGAGATTCCATCTGAACACGAGGAAGAACTTCCTGACTGTGAGAGCCGTTCAGCAGTGGAACTCTCTGCCCAGGAGTGTGGTGGAGGCTCCTTCTTTGGAAGCTTTTAAACAGAGGCTGGATGGCCATCTGTCAGGGGTGCTTTGAATGCAATATTCCTGCTTCTTGGCAGAACGGGGTTGGACTGGATGATGGCCCATGAGGTCTCTTCCAACTCTTGGATTCTATGATTCTATATCTGATCGGACATTATGCAATTGTGTTTTAGTGGGCTTTGTTTTTCTAGTTGAAAGAAAAAATGAAAGAACAGTCCTGGAACATCCTTTTCGTCGAATGCGGCCGCGGAGTGAGCATGTTCCGGACGAGGAAAACCCGGGACCTGATCGTCCGAGGGATCCCTGAGGTGCTCAGAGGAGAGCTGTGGCTTCTCTTCTCAGGTACAATCTCTTCCCATAAAGAGTCGCGATGATTCCTTGTCTGCATTTGCTTCCCTATCCTGTTAAAAATGTGCAGGAGTGCTAATCAGTAATACGCAAACACAAGATGCTCAAATGATGCATGTGTTTCCTCTGTGTAAATAAAAATGTAATGTTAGTTTGTGGGATTGACAGAACTCAAAAACTACTGGGGGAATCGACACCAAATTTGGGCACAAGACACCTAACAGTCCAATGTATGTCCTTCACTCATAAAAACACTGAAAAACACAGCAGAAGAGAGCTGCCCTTAAAAAGCCCCAAAAAGCTAAATGACAATACAGAAAAAAGGAAGAAAGAGGGAGGGAAGGGGAGAAAAGAAAGAAAAAGAGAGAGAGGGAGGGAGGGGAACAAAGAAGGAAAGGGAGAAGGAAGCATGGAAGCAAAGAGAGAAGGAAGGAAGGAAAGAGGTAGAGAAGGAAGAAAGGAGAGAAAGAGGGAGGGAAAGAAAGAAGGAAAGGGAGAAGGAAGCATGGAAGCAAAGAGAGAAGGAAGGAAAGAGGTAGAGAAGGAAGAAAGGAGAGAAAGAGGGAGGGAAAGAAAGAAGGAAGGAAGGAAAGAGGGAAAGAAAGAGAAAGAGGGAGAGAAGGAAAGAGAAGGAAGGATGGAAGCAAAAAGCGAAAGGAAGGAAGGAAAGAGGTAGAGAAGGAAGAAGGGAAAGAAAGAGAGAAGGAAGGAGGAGGAAAAGCGAAGGAAGGAAGGAGGTAGAGAAGAAGAAAAGAGGAAAAAGAGGAAAAAAGGGGGAAGGAAGGAAAGAGGAAAGAGAAGGAAGGAGGAGAGAGGAAAGAAGAAAAGGGAAGAAAGAAGGAAAGAGAAGGAAGGAAAGAGAAGGGAAAGAGGGAAAGAAGAAAGAGGGAGAGAAGAAGGAAGGATGGAAGAAAAAAGCGAAGGAAGGAAGGAAGGAAGGAAGGAAGGAAGGAAGGAAGGAAAGAGGAGAGGAAGGAAGAAGGAAGGAGAGGAAAAGAAGGAAGAAGAGGAAGAAGAAGAAAAGAGGGAAGAAGGAAAAGGAAAAGCGGGAAAGGAAGGAAAGAGTAGAGAAGGAAGGAGAGAAGGGAAGAAGACAAGGGAAGAAAGAAGGGAAAGGAGAGAAAGAGGGAGAGAGGGGTGGCCTCAGCAACGTGTGGCGGGCACAGCTAGTCTGTATACATAAAAATGTAATGTTTGTTTGTGGGATTAACAGAACTCAAAAACCACTGGACAAATTGCCGCCAAATGTGGACACAATACACCTAACAACCCAATGTATGTCCTTTACTGAGCAGAATTCTGGGAAATGTAGTTCAGTGCAGGGCCTTTTGCATTCTCCTTCATAGGGCTCCTTGTTTCCCAAACTACATTTCCCAGAATCCTGTTCTTTCTCAGTCTCTTTCCCAGCAAACTCTGCATTCTCCTGATGCTGAGCAGAATTTAGGGAAATGTAGTTCAGGGCAGGGCCTTTTGCATTCTCTTTCATAGGGCTCCTTGCTTTCCCAAACTACATTTCCCAGAATCCTGTGCTTTCTCAGTCTCTTTCCCAGCAAACTCTGCTTTCTCCTGATGCTGAGCAGAATTCTGGGAAATGTAGTTCAGGGCAGGGCCTTTTGCATTCTCTTTCATAGGGCTCCTTGCTTTCCCAAACTACATTTCCCAGAATCCTGTGCTTTCTCAGTCTCTTTCCCAGCAAACTCTGCTTTCTCCTGATGCTGAGCAGAATTCTGGGAAATGTAGTTCAGGGCAGGGCCTTTTGCATTCTCTTTCATAGGGCTCCTTGCTTTCCCAAACTACATTTCCCATAATCCTATGCTTTCTCAGTCTCTTTCCCAGCAAACTCTGCTTTCTCCTGATGCTGAGCAGAATTCTGGGAAATGTAGTTCAGGGCAGGGCCTTTTGCATTCTCTTTCATAGGGCTCCTTGCTTTCCCAAACTACATTTCCCAGAATCCTGTGCTTTCTCAGTCTCTTTCCCAGCAAACTCTGCTTTCTCCTGATGCTGAGCAGAATTCTGAGAAATGTAGTTCAGGGCAGGGCCTTTTGCATTCTCTTTCATAGGGCTCCTTGCTTTCCCAAACTACATTTCCCAGAATCCTGTGCTTTCTCAGTCTCTTTCCCAGCAAACTCTGCTTTCTCCTGATGCTGAGCAGAATTCTGGGAAATGTAGTTCAGGGCAGGGCCTTTTGCATTCTCTTTCATAGGGCTCCTTGCTTTCCCAAACTACATTTCCCAGAATCCTGTGCTTTCTCAGTCTCTTTCCCAGCAAACTCTGCTTTCTCCTGATGCTGAGCAGAATTTAGGGAAATGTAGTTCAGGGCAGGGCCTTTTGCATTCTCTTTCATAGGGCTCCTTGCTTTCCCAAACTACATTTCCCAGAATCCTGTGCTTTCTCAGTCTCTTTCCCAGCAAACTCTATAACAGTGTGAAATATACCCGTTGGCAGGTGCTGTGAACGACATGGCGACCAACCCGGGCTACTACACGGAGCTGGTGGAGCGGTCCTTGGGGACGTGCACCTTGGCCACGGATGAAATCGAGAGGGACCTGCGCCGCTCCTTGCCCGAACACCCGGCTTTCCAGAGCGACACGGGCATTTCCGCGCTCAGAAGAGTCCTCACGGCATACGCCCACCGGAACCCCAAGATCGGGTATTGCCAGGTGAAAGAATGAGAAAATTAAAAAAAAGGGGGTTAACAGGTTAGACCTTTGTTCCAACAGGACTGCTGACCAATAGGTCAGTGGTTTGAATCTGGGGAGAGTAGGATGAGCTCCCTCTGTCAGCTCTAGCTCCCCATGCGGGGACCTGAGAGGAGCCGCCCACCAGGATAGTAAAAACATCAAACATCCAGGCGTTCCCTGGGCTACATCCTTGCAGACGGCCAATTCTCTCACACCAGAAGCAACTTGCAGTTTTTCAAGTAGCTCCTGACACACACGCACACAACACACATACACACACACACACACACTCCTGATACACACATACGTGCACACACACACACACACATATATGCATATATATACACACACACACACACACACAAGCCATCCCCTGCCACGCATTACTGTGGCCCAGTCTGTGTTTATGTGCTTTGTCTGTGTATTTATATTTGTGTATATGTGTGTTTGCGTGTACATATATATATGTGTGTGTGTGTGTGGTTTTGCGCCTGCCACACGTTGCTGTGGCCCAGTCTGTATATATGTGTTTTGTGTGTATATGTGTGTGCATATATTTGTGTTTATGTGTATATATGTGGTTTTGCACATGCATTATAATGTGTGGCCCAGTCTGTGTATATGTGTTTTGTGTGTGTATATATACTTATGTATCTATCCTTCTTACTTTCTCTCCTTCCCTCCTTCTTTCCCTCTTTCTCTCCCTCCTTCTCCTTCTCTCTCTCTCTTTCTCTCCTTCCTTCTCTACCCTTCAGTCTTTCTCTCCTTCCTTCTCTCTCCTTCCTTCCTTCTCTACCCTTCTTTCTTTCTCTCCTTCGCTCCTTTTCCCTCTCCTTCTCCCCCTCCTTCTCTCCCTCCTTCCCCCTTTTCTGTGTGTGTGTATGCATATATGTGTGTTTGTATGTGCATATATGTGTGTATGCGTGTGCATGCGTTGTAATGTATTTTGGAGGGGTTTTTGGGGACGTTTTTAGTCCCTTTCGCTGTGTTTTTTTGTTCCGTGTTTTTATGAGTGATGGTCACTTGCTGGCCTGAAAGGTGTCTTGTGTCCAAATTTGGTGTCCATTTGCCCAGTGATTTTTGAGTTCTGTTAATCCTACAAACAAACATTACATATATATATATATGAGAGAGAGAGAGAGATCAAAGGAGTAAGCCCAGTGTGCTGCCACTGCGGAAAGAAAGAACAAGGGATGGCACTCACCTATGTGGTGGGAATGTCCAAAGGAACTATATTCTGGGAAATGGGAACCAAAACAATGCAAAGAATATTTACAAGTAAATTCAGGCATGGTGCTAATGGGAAGTCCAAAACACCTGGAGGGAGGGTCGAAGTTGGGCCATGCCTGCTTCAGCCAGTTAGCTCTGCCCTCTTCCATGTCTTCCTCCAGTTTGTGTCCCATCTTTCCTCCAAACTATCAGTCCACCTGATGGGCCCATGCGTGTCTGAACCAGGCGAACACTCTATACCAGGGGTCCTCAAACTTTTTAAACCGGGGGCCAGTTCACTGTCCCTCAGGCCGTTGGAGGGCCGGACTATAGTTTTTTAAAGAAAAAAATCAATAAAAAAATTCCTCTGCACATTGCAGATATCTTATTTGGCGGTGTGGAAGGGTTCTTACTCGCCCTCTTTGGGCAGTAATTCCAGGAGCAGAGAATGGGAAATCTTCCTATTTCTAGTCTGAACAAAATCTGGCTACCAGTATTTAAAAAAACTCTAAAATTATAACTGTAAATAAAGAACAACACTCAAACACATGGGAACTCCAGACAAGAAACAATCAGGGCCAGCTAATCACCTCTCAACAAAGGATTCTCCCTAAAAAACTGTCAGGCTATGAAATGGTAACCAAGGTGGCCAACTGAAACATTCATACCTACCTCCAACAGACCCTGGATCTTCCACAATTTTCCTAGTTAAAAGTTTTCCTCTGACATGGAGTCCAGTCGTTTCTGACTCTGGGGTGTGGCTCATCTGCATTTCTAAGCGCGCTTGGTGGGGACGCGGGACAGGGCCTTTTCCGTGGTGGCCCCCCAACTCTGGAACACCCTCCCCAAAGACCTTAGACAGGCCCCTACATTGGCTGTCTTCAGAAAGAACTTGAAGACCTGGCTTTTCCGATGCGCCTTCCCAGATTAGGAAATCTCCAATACCAAGTCCCATAAGCACTTTATCAGAACCAATGATTGCTGCACATCGCACATCACACTTGCCCTAGAAGCCCTTTATACACCTCCTGTCACATCAGCACTTTTAATCTTTGTACCCACCTTCTGGCCCGGCCCAGTTTTATTGTGTTTTAGTGTATTGTGCCTGTTGTTTATTTTGCTTTATTCTGTTTTTAATTGTTTGATTTGCTTACATTGTATTGTTATATTGTGTTGTTGAGGCCTCGGCCTGTGTAAGCCGCATCAAATCCTTCGGGAGATGCTAGCAGGGTACAAATAAAGTTTAATAATAATAATAATAATAATAATAATAATAATAATAAGTCGAAGAGCCGGCGTTGTCCGTTGACACCTCCAAGGCCATGTGGTCGGTATGACCACATGGAGCACCGGGGCAGCCTCCCTTGCCTGGCTCACCCTGCCCATCGGGCCTGACAGATAGCATGAGCCAGCCAAGGGAGGAGCAGCCCCGCGTGGCCTACTCGCGTGTAAAGCACCTTGCGAGGTGTTTTATGCACGAGTTGGCCACGCGGAGCAGCTACCCTTGGCTGGCTCACGCTGCCCATCGGGCCTGACAGATAGTGTGAGCTAGCCAAGGGAGGGGCACTGTGTGGGGGGCGCACTCCTCCTCCGCGGGCCGGATAAGTGCCCTTGGCGGGCCGGAAGTGGCCCGCGGGCCGTCGTTTGGGGACCCCTGCTCTATACAATATCCTTTCTCTAGTAATGCCAGTCTCTATGTTTGATCCTTGGTAGGCGATGAATATCCTGACCTCGGTTCTCCTGCTGTACGCCAAAGAGGAGGAAGCTTTCTGGCTCTTGGTTGCTGTCTGTGAGCGGATGCTACCCGATTATTTCAATCGCCGGATCATAGGTGAGAAATAGTAGGACCGGTTAAAAGTAAAACTGGCTACTCACATTTGCATGTTTTCAAAATGCAGGAGACAAGACGTAACTGTCTTCCTGGACCCTCTCTTCACTCTGATCTCAGAGCAGCGGTTGGTGTTTGAGGGGGGGACATCTCTGAACTTGATGTCCAACGTTTCTGGAAACTCCTTTTTTGGTTGCTCATCTTTGGACACCCAACAAAACCCCTGAGATGTCTCCAGAAGTGTTGCTGGTCTGTGAGATGCGCTTTTGCAAATTGAGGCCTTGGAGTGTGCATCTTCACTCTCATCTCAGAGCAGTGGTTGGCGTTTGAGGGGTGGACATCTCTGAACTTGATGTCCAACATTTCTGGAAACTCCTTGTTTGGTTGCTCATCTTTGGACACCAACAAAACCCCTGAGATGTCTCCAGAAGTGTTGCTGGTCTGTTAGATGCGCTTTTGCAAATTGAGGCCTTGGAGTGTGCATCTTCACTCTCATCTCAGAGCAGTGGTTGGCGTTTGAGGGGTGGACATCTCTGAACTTGATGTCCAACATTTCTGGAAACTCCTTGTTTGGTTGCTCATCTTTGGACACCAACAAAACCCTTGAGATGTCTCCAGAAGTGTTGCTGGTCTGTTAGATGCGCTTTTGCAAATTGAGGCCTTGGAGTGTGCATCTTCACTCTCGTCTCAGAGCAGTGGTTGGTGTTTGAGGGGTGGACATCTCTGAACTTGATGTCCAACATTTCTGGAAACTCCTTGTTTGGTTGCTCATCCTTGGACACCAACAAAACCCTTGAGATGTCTCCAGAAGTGTTGCTGGTTTGTGAGATGTGATCTTGCAAATTGAGGCCTTGGAGTGTGCATCTTCACTCTCATCTCAGAGCAGTGGTTGGTGTTTGAGGGGTGGACATCTCTGAACTTGATGTCCAACATTTCTGGAAACTCCTTGTTTGGTTGCTCATCTTTGGACACCAACAAAACCCCTGAGATGTCTCCAGAAGTGTTGCTGGTCTGTGAGATGTGATCTTGCAAATTGAGGCCTTGGAGTGTGCATCTTCACTCTCGTCTCAGAGCAGTGGTTGGTGTTTGAGGGGTGGACATCTCTGAACTTGATGTCCAACATTTCTGGAAACTCCTTGTTTGGTTGCTCATCCTTGGACACCAACAAAACCCCTGAGATGTCTCCAGAAGTGTTGCTGGTCTGTGAGATGTGATCTTGCAAATTGAGGCCTTGGAGTGTGCATCTTCACTCTCGTCTCAGAGCAGTGGTTGGTGTTTGAGGGGTGGACATCTCTGAACTTGATGTCCAACATTTCTGGAAACTCCTTGTTTGGTTGCTCATCCTTGGACACCAACAAAACCCTTGAGATGTCTCCAGAAGTGTTGCTGGTTTGTGAGATGTGATCTTGCAAATTGAGGCCTTGGAGTGTGCATTTTCACTCTCGTCTCAGAGCAGTGGTTGGTGTTTGAGGGGTGGACATCTCTGAACTTGATGTCCAACATTTCTGGAAACTCCTTGTTTCGTTGCTCATCTTTGGACACCCAACAAAACCCCTGAGATGTCTCCAGAAGTGTTGCTGGTCTGTGAGATGTGATCTTGCAAATTGAGGCCTTGGAGTGTGCATCTTCACTCTCGTCTCAGAGCAGTGGTTGGTGTTTGAGGGGTGGACATCTCTGCACTTGATGTCCAACGTTTCTGGAAACTCCTTGTTTGGTTGGTCATCTTTGGACACCAACAAAACCCCTGAGATGTCTCCAGAAGTGTTGCGGGTCTGTGAGATGCGTTCTTGCAGATGCATTCCCATTTGGGACGTTCCTGCTCCCTCTCTTTCAGGGGCCTTGGTGGACCAGGCCGTGTTTGAGGACCTCATCCGGGAGCGCCTGCCGCAGCTGACGGAGCACATGACGGACATGACCTTCTTCTCCTCCGTCTCCCTCTCCTGGTTCCTTACGCTCTTCATCAGCGTGCTGCCCATCGAGAGCGCCGTCAACGTCGTGGACTGCTTCTTCTACGACGGGATCAAGGCCATCCTGCAGCTGGGTCTGGCCGTGCTGGACTACAACATGGACAGTCTCCTGGCCTGTAAGGACGATGCCGAAGCCGTGACCGTTCTCAACAGGTACTGGGACCCTAATGCGGCGGGAGACGTTGGCATTTCCACTGCCACCATCAATTGTCGTAATCGTTTACCATTATTTCAATCCAGGTTTTTCGACAGCGTCACCAACAAGGACAGCCCTCTTCCTCCGGCGGTGCAGCAGGCTTCTGGCGTGAGCGAAGCCAAGAGTCCGCACCCTAAAGTGGACATCACAGATCTGATTCGAGAGTCCAATGAGGTATGTATCAGGCATGTGCGGTCGATAAAAAATGGTTCTAAACTCTTTCCAAAAATAGGGGCCACTGGCACTTAGTTTCTAAAGTATTTCTGAAATTTGGGTGGTGTGTGCAGATCCCAGTAAGGTGGCCTTCTGTAGCTAGCAGATGGTAATCTTTTCAGTGCTGATTGTGTTTAAGTGCAGGCCAAGGTCTTGAGGCACTGCACCCAGTGTGCCAATGATCACCACTGGGACCACCTTGACTGGCTTGAGCCAGAGTCTTTGCAGTTCGATCTTTAAGTCCTCATATTAATATTTATTATTATTATTATTATTATTATTATTATTATTATTATTATTAGCACAACAAGATGAGTCCACAGCAGACACTCTGCTGGCTGTTGGATCACACGCGGACACTTCCCAAGTGTCTAGGAGTGTGTGAAGTATCGGCAATAATGCGTGCAGATCCCAGTAAGGTGGCCTTCTGCAACTGGCAGATGGTAATTTTGTCAGCGCCGATTGTGTTTAAGTGCAGGCCAAGGTCTTTAGGCACTGCACCCAGTGTGCCGATCACCACTGGGACCACCTTGACTGGCTTGTGCCAGAGTCTTTGCAGTTCGATCTATTATTATTATTATTATTATTATTATTATTATAAACACAACAAGATGAGTCCACAACAGACACTCTGTTGGCTGTTGAATTGGATCACATGTCAGACACTTCTCAGGTGTCCAGGACTGTGTGACGTATCGGCGACTAATGCGTGCTGATCCCAGTAAGGTGGCCTTCTGCAGCTGGCAGATGGTAATTTTGTCAACGCTGATTGTGTTTAAGTGCGGGCCAAGGTCCTTAGGCACTGAAGAAAGCGGAAAAGCTGGGTTGCAGCTAAACATCAAAAAAACCAAGATTATGGCAACAAGAATGATTGACAACTGGGAAATAGAGGGAGAAAACGTGGAGGCCATGACAGACTTTGTATTTCTAGGCGCAAAGATGAGTGCAGACGCAGACTGAGGCCAGGAAATCAGAAGACGCTTCCTTCTTGGGAGGAGAGCAATGTCCCATCTCAATAAAATAGTGAAGAATAGAGACATCAGACTGGCAACAAAGATCCATTGCCTAGTCCAAGCCATGGTCTTCCCTGTAGTCACCTACGGATGTGAGAGCTGGACCTTAGGGAAGGCTGAGCGAAGGAAGAGAGGCGCTTTTGAGCTGTGGTGTTGGAGGAAAGTGCTGAGAGTGCCTTGGACTGCGAGAAGATCCAACCAGTCCATCCTCCAGGAAAGAAAGCCCGGCTGCTCACTGGAGGGAAGGAGACTAGAGGGAAAGCGGAAGTCCTTTGAAGGCCACATCATGAGGAGACAGCAAAGCCTGGAGAAGACAATTATGCTGGGGAAAGTGGAAGGCAAAAGGAAGAGGGGCCGACCAAGGGCAAGATGGATGGATGGCATCCTTGAAGTGACTGGACTGACCTTGAAGGAGCTGGGGGTGGTGACGGCCGACAGGGAGCTCTGGCGTGGGCTGGTCCATGGGGTCACGAAGAGTCAGAGACGACTGAACAAATGAACAACAACAACAAGGTCTTGAGGCACTGCACCCAGTTTTATTATTATTATGTATCATTATTTTTAATAATAAATAAATAAATATATTATAATAATATATTACGATAAATAATATATTTTATTTGTTTGTTTGTTTGTTTGTTTGTTGTGTCGGCAACCAGTCAATTGCATTACATTTCTAACAGAACAAAACAAGCAAACAGACAAAACACAAAATTTGCAAGCTTGGTAGTTGACTAAATGTCCTTTGACCAGTCTCTGGCCACTTGGAGTGCTTCTGGTGTTGCTGCAAGAAGGTCCTCCATTGTGCATGTGGCAGGGCTCAGGGTGCATTGCAGCAGGTGGTCAGTGGTTTGCTCTTCTCCACACTCGCATGTCATGGATTCCACTTTGTGGCCACATTTCTTAAGGTTGGCTCTATATACTCGAGTATCAGCCTAGTTTTTCAGCCCTTTTTTTAGACTGAAAAAGCCCCCCTCGGCTTCTACTCGAGTCAATGTAATAATAATAATAATAATACCTTGACTTGAGTAGAAGCTGAGGGAGGCTTTTTCAGTCCTAAAACAGGGCTGAAAAACTAGGCTTATACTTGAGTATATACAGTAAATGCATCCCTCCTCCCAAGTAAAGCAAGATTTCTCAGATTTCTCCTTCTCCTCGCCCCCAGATTAGCCATTATTTGCTTCCCCCCCCCCTTCCACACTGTAATTCCTGCCATGATCTTGAACGAGCTGCATCTTAAAGCCTCTTGCTCAATCTGGTGATCTCTGCTCCCTCAAGAGGAAACGGCCTGATGACTTCCCCTTCTTCTCTTAGAAATATGGCGAAATCCGATTTGAGGAAGTTGAATGCATGCGCCGCCGGAACCGGCTGTATGTCATCCAGACCCTGGAGGTCACTACGAAGCAAAATGTGGTGAGTTGTGCGCAAGGACATCTACTATCTGTGACGATGTGTAAATTTTATTCCTTTGGTTATGTGTAATTTAAACAGTAGTTTATGGATGGTAAGTATGGAGGATTATGTTTTGTTGGAGATGGTGGCTTGGCATTAGCTGAGTTGCCATAGCAACAGGGGTGGAGCCAACTGCCTCTTCACAGGGCAGCTGTTTTGAAAGTCAGTCAGTAAGCCGGTGAGCTACTGGGAAGACTGAGTCTCTGGGTGGAGATTCAGGGAATGTGTCTGTAGCCAGTGTGCTATAGGGAATTCTGTTAAAATAAGCCTTTTAGCTTAGTTGTTATATTAGGGCAGTTGTCCAGAAGGGTTACATCTGCTTAAAGAAACTTCTTGAAGACTGTGCCTGAGATTACTCATGAAACATTACTATTGTAACCATCAAGATTTGTGCCTCTTGTGAAGAAACAGTTAAACATGTTATACTCCTGTTAAAATAAACTTGTTACTGTTTTCCTCAAGCCTTGCCTGATAGTTTCTCCTAAGTTGAACAGCCTGCAATAGTAAAGTCAGCCAGAAACAGTAAACGCTACGCTATCAAATGAACAAAGCCTTCTGTAATTCACAGTCCCTTTATAAAATAGCTCCTAGGTTGATATTAATCGTTGCCCGGCTTCCCTCATAGATTAGGTGGCAGTGGGTGTTTTACCACGTGCACCTTCACATTTGGTGGTATTCGGTGGCGTTAAAACGGTCTTCTTCACACTATCCTTTCGCCAGGGGACAGTTCCACCTTGTCTTCTGTGCTATTTTAATGATATAATGTAATGTAATATTATACAAAATATTTTTATATTCATATAATATTTATAATATTACAATGTAATGCAACATAATACTAATAATGTGATAATATAGTTATATATTTATATTACATGTAGTATTATTAATAATATCACAATATAATGGTATAGTACAATATAGTAATATAGCACCGGGATTGTGGTGCAGCTGGCTTGAGTGTCAGCTGCATTAAGATCACTCTGACCAAAAGGTCATGAGTTCGAAGCCAGCCCAGGCTGGAGTGAGTGTCCAGCCATTGTGTAGCCTGTTGTTGACCTTTGCAACCCGAAAGACAGTTGCATCTGTCAAGTAGGAAAATAGAGTACCACCTTGTGTGGGAGGCTAAATTAACAAATTTATGAGGCCATAAAGAAAAAAGATTCCGGGGAATGTGGAATGCGGAAGAACTTCATCAGTGTCGCTGATGGACGATGAAAAGCAGCAGCTCCCCTAGCGGCCAGAAAAAAAAAGTTAAATAGCCTCAGTGTATTGTCTGTTATACGTTGTTTGTCAAACTGGCATTGAATGTTTGCCATATATGTGTATACTGTAATCCGCCCTGAGTCCCCTGTGGGATGAGAAGAAGGGCGGAATAGAAAAGCGGTAAATAAATAAATAAATAAATAGTAATATATAATACTGATATTGTATTATGCTAATAAAATAATATACCAAATTGGGAGGGAGAGCCAAGACTCCAGAGGACAGGAGCAGAATTCAAAACTATCTTGACAGATTAGAGAGATGATGGGCCAAAGCTAACACAATGAAGTTCAACAGGGACAAATACAAGATACTCCACTTTGGCAGGAAAAACGAAATGCAAAGATACAGAATGGGGGACGAGGAGGCGTGGCTCGAGAGCAGGACGTGTGAAAAAGATCTTGGAGTCCTCGTGGACAGAAAGTTAAACATGAGCCAGGAATGTGATGTGGTGGCAAAAAAAGCCAATGGGATTTTGGCCTGCATCAAGAGGAGCCTAGTGTCTAGATCTAGGGAAGTCATGCTCCCCATGCTCTATTCCTCCTTGGCTAGACCACTTTACCTGGAATATTGTGTCCAATTCTGGGCACCACAATTCAAGAGAGAGATTGACAAGCTGGAATGTGTCCAGAGGGGGGCGACTCAAATGATCAAGGGTTTGGAGAACAAGCCCTATGAGGAGCGGCTTAAGGAGCTGGGCATGTTTAGCCTGAAGAAGAGAAGGCTGAGAGGAGATATGATGAGGGCCATGTATAAATATGTGAGAGGAAGCCACAGGGAGGAAGTTTGTTTTCTGCTTCCTTGGAGACTAGGACAGGTGTTGGCTATTTGTTTGAATTCTTCTTTGGTGATTTCTCTCTTTTTCCACTTCTTGTGCATGTCTCTTTTGTGTGGAGTTCCACTGCTGAACGGCTCTCAATGGCTTCAAACTACAAGAGAGGAGATTCCATCTGAACATGAGGAAGAACTTCCTGACTATGAGAGCCGTTCAGCAGTGGAACTCTCTGCCCCGGAGTGTGATGGAGGCTCCTTCTTTGGAAGCTTTTAAACAGAGGCTGGCTGGCCATTTGTCAGGGGTGATTTGAATGCAATATTCCTGCTTCTTGGCAGAATGGGGTTGGACTGGATGATGGCCCAGGAGGTCTCTCCCAACTCTTTGATTCTAGGATTCTATAAGCCGCTCTGCGAGAAGGGCAGCATATCAATGTCGTAAATAAATAAATAAATAAACAAACATCCAGGGGGGAGAAAAGTTTGAATAAGGAAAATGAAGGTTATGTTGTCCTTCCTCTGCAGACTGCAAAGGCCACGTGACTGTAGCCTGATTGCCTTCTTTCTTTTTTTCTGTCTTTCTTTCGTTGCAGCTGCGTGTTGTGTCACAGGATGTGAAAATCAGCCCCAGCAACCTTGAGAAGCTTTATGAAATATTCAAGGTAATACGCCGGTTGCATTTAATAATACCTTGATGAGCAGCAGGTCTTAGTTTTAAGATGAGAGTTGTCCCAGCTGATGATATTTTGCCTCGGTCTCAGCAACCGTGGCTGAATCTTCGGATACTGGAGTCTTCCTCCCTCGTTCGAGGAATATTTTAGGAGGACATTTATTTATTTACTAGCCATCCCCTGCCACGCTATGCTGTGGCCCACATGGGGTTCTGTGTGGGAGGTTTGGCCCAATTCTGTCATTGGTGGGGTTCAGAATGCTCTTTGATTATAGGTGAACTATAAATCCCAGCAATTACAACCCCCAAATGTCAAGGTCTATTTTTACCAAACTCTACCAGTGTTCCCATTTGGGAACATTCAGTATTCATGCCAAGTTTGGTCCAGATTTATCATTGTTTGAGCCTACAGTGCTTTCTGGATGTAGGTGAACTACAAGTCCAAAACCAAAGACACTGCCCGCCAAACCCTTCTAGTGTTTTCTGTTAGTCTTGGGAGTCCTGTGTGCCAAGTTTGGTTCAATTCCATCGTTGGTGGGGTTCAGAATGCTCTTTGATCGTAGGTGAACTATACATCCCAGCAACTTCAACTCCCAAATGTCAAGATTCTATTTTCCCCAAACTCCACCAGTGTTCACATTTGGGCATATTGAGTATTCTTGTAGAGTTTGGTCCAGATCCAACATTGCCTGAGTCCACAGTGATCTGTGGATGTAGGTGAACTACAACTCCAAAACCAAAGGACACTGCCCACCAAACCCTTCCAGTATTTTCTGTTGGTCATGGGAGTTCTGTGTGCCAAGTTTGGTTCAGTTCCATCGTTGGTGGGGTTCAGAATGCTCTTTGATTGTAGGTGAACTATAAATCCCAGCAACTACAACTCCCAAATGTCAAGGTCTATTTTCCCCAACCTCCACCAGTGTTCACATTTGGGCATATTGAGTATTTGTGCCAAGTTTGGTCCAGATCCATCATTGTTTGAGTCCACAGTGCTCTCTGGATGTAGGTGAACTACAACTCCAAAAATGGTCCATGCCCACCAAACCCTTCCAGTATTTTCTGTTGGTCATGGGAGTTCTGTGTGCCAAGTTTGGTTCAATTCCATCGTTGGTGGGGTTCAGAGTGCTCTTTGATTGTAGGTGAACTATAAATCCCAGCAACTACAACTCCCAAATGACAAAATCAATTTCTTTGAGTGAAGGACATACATTGGGTTGTTTGGTGTCTTGTTTCCAAATTTGGTGGTTTTTGAGTTCTGTGAATCCCACAAACTAACATTACATATTTATTTATAGATATATATATGTGTGTGTGTGTGTATTATAATATAATATATTATTAGCATAGTACAATATCACTATTAAATATTACTATATTGTACTATACCATTATATTGTAATAATATTAGTAATATTACATCTATATAAATAAAAATGTAATGTTTGTTTGTGGGATTAACAGAACTCAAAAACCACGAATTGACACCAAATTTGGACACAAGACACCTAACAACCCAATGTATGTCCTTCACTCAAAAAAACTGATTTTGTCATTTGGGATTTGTAGTTGCTGGGATTTATAGTTCACCTACAATCAAAGAGCATTCTGAACCCCACGAATGAAATTGAACCAAACTTGGCACACAGTTCTCCCCTGACCAACAGAAAATACTGGAAGGTTTTGGTGGGCAGTGTCCTTTGGTTTTGGAGTTGTAGTTCACCTACATCCAGAGATCACTGTGGACTCAAACAATGATGGATCTGGACCAAACTCTACAAGAATACTCAATATGCCCAAATGTGAACACTGGTGGAGTTTGGGGAAAATAGAATCTTGACATTTGGGAGTTGTAGTTGCTGGGATTTATAGTTCACCTACAATCACAGAGCATTCTGAACCCCACCAACGATAGAATTGGGCCAAACCTCCCACACAGAACCCCCGTGTGGGCCACAGAAACCTATGCAGGAGACAAGATGGAACTGTCCATGGACACGCAACCCCTTAGCGTGCCATCGCTTTGCCGCAGCCTCTGCCTGTGTCTCTCTGCCTACAGAAAGAGCATTTCCTCTCTTGCTACTGGACCGTGCGCAGCCCGGCCCTGAGGCACCACGACCCCAGCCTGCCCTACCTGGACCAGTACCGCATCGACTGCCAGCAGTTCCGGCTCCTCTTCCACCTCCTCAGCCCGTGGGCAGGTTGTGCCAACAGGGACTCCCTCGCTCTGTGGACCTTCCGGCTGCTGGACGAAAACTCTGATGGACTTATCAACTTCAAAGAGTTTGCCGGCGCGCTTGGTACGGTATATACAAACTCACAAGGGAGGCTTTGTTTGCTCTTTGTTGGCTTCACATTGGGTTACTTGCAGACCTGTCCACGTGAGGGGGAAAAGGGTAGAAATGACCTTAAAATCAGCTCAGCCTGTTTGTCTGTCTCTCATGGTGTTGTCCTGTCTGAGAGGACTATTTACTGTATTTACTCAAATCTAACATTCACATTTTTTGGCTAAATTCTTCTTCTTTTATATATAACTATATATCCATCCATCTGACTATCCATCCATCCATCCATCCATCCATATATCTAACTATATATCCATCCATCCATCCGACTATCTGTCTGTCTGTCCGTCCGTCCGTCCGTCCATCCATCCGACTATCTTATCCATCCATCCATCCATCCAATATATCCATCTGTCTATCCATCCATATATCTAACTATATATCCATCCATCCATCTGATTATCTATCTATCTATCCATCCATCCATCCATCCATATATCTAACTATATATCCATCCATCCGACTATCTGTCCGTCCGTCCATCCATCCGTCCATCCATCCATCTGACTATCTTCATCCATCCATCCATCCATCCATCCATCCATCCATCCATCCAATATATCCATCCATCCATCCATCCATGTCTTCTATCTATCTATCTATCTATCTATCTATCTATCTATCTATCTCTACATACATACATATATCTATATATCCATCTATCCATCTGACTATCTATCCATCCATCCATCCATCCATCCACACATACATACATACATACATACATACTATCTATCTATCTATCTATCTATCTATCCATCTATCCCTATCTATCTATCTATCTATCTATCTATCTATCTATCTATCTATCTATCTATCTATCTATCTATCTATCCATCCATCCATCCATCCATCCATCCAATCTATCTATCTATCTATCTATCTATCTATCTATCTATCTATCTATCCATCTGTCCACCCATCCATCCGTCTATCTATTCATCCATCCATTGCTGTGGCCCAGTCTGGTGATTTAGAAAATAAAGTAATAATCTATCTATTATCTATCTATCTATCTATCTATCTATCTATCTATCTATCTATCTATCTATCTATCTATCATCATCATCATCATCTTCTATCTATCTATCTATCTATCTATGCATCTATCCATCCATCCATCCATCCATCCATCCATCCATCCATCCATCCATCCATCTATCTAAGTATATATCCATCTATCCATCTGGTTATCTATCTATCTATCCATACATACATACATACATACATACATACATACATACAGCTAACTAACTATATATCCATCTGTCTGTCTGTCTATCTATCATCTATCTATCTATCTATCTATCTATCTATCTATCTATCTCTATTTCTATCTCTTTTCTCTCTATCTATCTCTCTTATTTCTAAGTGCTTTTCCCAATTGAGAGGTTAGCGTTGTGACTGTCCTTTCCACAGGGCTTTGTTTTGGGCCTCCTCGTGCCTCAGGTTGGCAGCACGCATGTCTTTGTTGAAGGTGTCCGTCCATCTTGTCTTTGGCCTTTGTCCACGTGGTCACCATCCTGCAATCTCCAAATGCAGTGCTGTTTTTGCACCTAATGTTGGTCTCTTCTCATGACGTAGTCTTGCTTCCTGCATTTTCTTGCTGATCGCTTCTATTCCTAGTCTTTGACGGATGGATGTCGTCACTTCCTACCGGCTGTTGGGAATTGTGGGAGTTGAAGTCCAAAACACCTGGAGGGAGGGCCCAAGTTTGCACACTCTTGCTCTATAGAATCGTAATTCCTGGGGGAAAAAGACTAATAAGAACCAGTGATTATTATTTTTCCTTCTCCCCAGATATCGTGTATCACGGAAGTTTTACACATAAGCTGAAGCTGCTCTTCAAACTGCACATACCTCCAGGTAAGTCAGAAATGTTTGTTTCACCCGTTGTATTTATTTGCTTTGGGAGCAACACTACTACAGCAAGATAATCCTCAGGTTTCAAATGAGGAAAACACACAGGGCACTATTTCTTTGTCGTGTCAGGGCAACTAGTCAATTGTATTACATTTCTAACAGAACAAAACAAACAGACAAAACACAAAATTTGCAAGCTTGGTAGTTGATTAAATATCCTTTGAGCAGTCTCTGGCCCCTTGGAGTGCCTCTGGTGTTGCCGCAAGAAGGTCCTCCCTTGTGCATGTGGCAGGGGGCTCAGGTTGCATTGCAGCAGGTGGTCAGTGGTTTGCTCTTCTCCGCACTCGCATGTTGTGGACTCCACTTTGTGGCCCCATTTATTAAGGTTGCCTCTGCATCTTGTGGTGCCAGAGCGCAGTCTGTTCAGTGCCTTCCAAGTTGCCCAGTTTTCTGTGTGACCAGCGGGGAGTCTCTCATTTGGTATCAGATTCTGGGTTTGAGCCTGCCACTTTTGGACTCTCGCTTGCTGATGTGTTCCAGCGAGTGTCTCTGTAGATCTTAGAAAACTATTTCTTGATTTAAGTCGTTGACGTGCTGGCTGATACCCAAACAAGGGATGAGCTGGAGATGTCTCTGCCTTGGTCCTTTCACTATTGGCTGCTACTTCCCGGCAGATTTCAGGTGGTGCAATACCAGCTAAACAGTGTAATTTCTCCAACACCCTGTGATAATGTGGCATGTCTCATTAAGAGCCACATCCACTGTTTTAGTGTGGTGAGATGTGTTCCACACTGGGCATGCGTACTCAGCAGCAGAATAGCATAGCGCAAGGGCAGATGTCTTCACTGTGTCTGGTTGTGATCCCCAGGTTGTGCCAGTCAGCTCTCATATGATATTGTTTCTAGCACCCACTTTTTGCTTGATGTTCAGGCAGTGCTTCTTGTAGGTCAGAGCACGGTCCAGAGTGACTCCTCCCAGTTATTTGGGTGCGCTGCAATGCTCCAGTGGGATTCCTTCTCAGGTGATCCTCAGGGCTTGGGATGCTTGTCTGTTCTTAAGGTGGAAGGCACATGTCTGTGTTTTAGATGGGTTGGGGATCAGTTGGTTTTCCCTATAATAGGCAGTAAGAGCACCTAGAGTTTCAGAGAGCTTCTGTTCAACCATCTCAAAGCTCCCTGCTTGAGCAGTGATGGCACGATCATCAGCATAGATGAAGCTCTCTGTCCCTTCTGGCAGTGGCTGGTCATTTGTGTAGATGTTGAACATGGATGGAGCAAGCACGCTCCCCTGAGGCAGGCCGTTCTGTTTCCGCCATCTACTTCTACTTCTACTTCACAGGTCACTAAAAGAAAAATTGGAAGAGAAAGGGAAGGAAAACAAGAGAACTCAGGTTGTGTTCTGCCTTTGGGAGGGTTTCATGTATTGTATATATTAGGACTTGAGTGTCTGTGTTGGGAATCAGCCTATATTTGTGTTCCAGGATCATGATGCTTATGATGTGAGTAATGAGGGTGCCGAGGCAGAGGCGCAAGATGGAGACGGTTTGGTTAATGATTTTCATGCAGACAATGACAAAGAGGCCACAGTGCAAAGGGCAGTTTCTCATGAGAATATCCCTGCTGAGCCTTGGGATGATGGTTTACTCCCTCTTTCTGTGAGCTATCAAGATTTGGGTTTGGAAAGCAATCTGACACCTAGGAATTTTAATGCGCAGCCAGATAGGGAGTTGAAGGATAGGCGGCTGGAGATCAGGCAGGATCCACAGCAAATTCCTGGTCGATTGTAAACCGGACCGGGGTATAGGGTGGCAACCTGTGCTGGACAGGGTTACACTCCCCCTGAAGTCACAGGTCCGCAGTTTGGAGTTCTCCTGGATTCTTCACTTACGTTTGAGGCTCAGGCGTCGGTGGTGGCCGGGAGGGCCTTTGCACAATTAAGACTCGTGCGCCAACTGTGACCGTACCTCGTGAAGACGGATCTGGCCAAGGTGGTCCACACCTTAGTCACCTCTAGATTGGAAACTGCAATGCACTCTACATGGGGCTGCCCTTGAAAACGGGCCGGAAATTTCAGATGATCCAACGGGCTGCAGCCAGGTTGTTAACTGGTGCTCCTTACAGAGAGAGGTCAACCCTCCTGTTCAAGGAGCTCCACTGGCTGCCAATCATTTTCCGGACCCAATTCAAGGTGCAGGTTCTTACCTACAAAACCCGCCTACCTGTGTGACCGCATCTCTGTATACGAACCCACACGATCTCTTCATTCATCTGGAGAGGCCCTGCTCTCGATCCCACCAGCATTGCAGGCGCGATTGGTGGGGACGAGAGAGAGGGCCTTTTCGGTGGTGGCCCCTCGACTCTGGAACTCACTCCCTAAGGACATCAGGCAGGCCCAACCCTGGCAGTCTTTAGGAGGAGCTTGAAGACGTGGTTATTCCAGTGTGCCTTCCCAGAATAATGATCCCATAGCACTTTGTCCTCCAAAGCACTTTATATTGTTTTAGGTCTGCTCGTATATTTCCACAAACCGCCCCATCACTTTTTCGCCCATGTCCAGCATTATTTTTAATTTTAATTACGTTTGGCCTACCCATAGATTTTAAAGTGTGTTGTCCTATTGGTAATGCTTGTGTTATTGTTTTGTTGTTTTTAAATTGCTTGTATTGTTGTTGTTATTGCTTGTATTGTTGTGTTTTGGGCTCGGCCTCATGTAAGCCGCACCGAGTCCCTTGGGGAGATGGTAGCGGGGTATAAATAAAGTGTTGTTGTTGTTATTATTATTATTATTATTATTCTTATTATTATTATTATTTTCAGGCAGACAATGACAGAGAGGCCCCAGTGCAAAGGGCAGTTTCTCATGAGAATATTCCTGCTGGGCCTAGCAATGATGGTTTACTCCCTCTCTCTGTGAGCTCTCAAGATTTGGGTTTGGAAAGCAATCTGAGACCTGGGAATTTTAATGCGCAGCCAGATAGGGAGTTGAAGGATAGGTGGCGGGTGTGGGTTAAGGTGGTGGTTAATGCCTCCCTTCGGGAAGGCAAGATTCCAGCGAGCTTAAAACAAGCTATAATAAAACTGCTGTTGAAGAAACCATCACTGGACCCCACTAAATCCGACAACTATCGGCCAGTTTCCAATCTCCCCTTCTTGGGCAAAGTCTTGGAACGTGTGGTGGCCTCACAACTCCAGGTATTCTTGGTGGACACGGATTATCTAGACCCGGCACAGTCTGGCTTTAGGCTGGGGCATGGTACCGAGACAGCCTTGGTCGCCCTAGTGGATGATCTGTGCCGGGAGCTGGACAGGGGGAGTGTGTCCCTGTTGGTGCTGCTGGACCTCTCAGCGGCCTTCGATACCGTCGACCACAGTATCCTTCTGGGATGCCTCGCGGGGATGGGTCTTGGAGGGACTGTTTAGTCAGTGTATCTGAGTCCCTTTGGGGAAGATAGAGCAGAATATGGGGGACACCTGTTCAACCCCACAACCATTGTCTTGTGGGGTTCCTCAGGGCTCAATATTGTCTCCCATGTTGTTTAACATCTACATGAAGCCGCTGGGGGAGATCATCCGGAGTTTCGGGGTACGGTGTCATCTGTACGCGGATGATGTCCAACTCTGTCACTCCTTCCCACCTGCTACTAAGGAGGCTGTCCAGGTCCTGAACCGGTGCTTGGCCGCTGTGACGGTCTGGATGAGGGCGAACAAATTGAAATTGAATCCAGACAAGACAGAGGTACTCCTGGTCAGTCGCAAGGCAGAACAGGGCATAGGGTTACAGCCTGTGCTGGATGGGGCCGCACTCCCCCTGAAGACGCAGGTTCGCAGCTTGGGTGTGACCCTGGACTCATCGCTGAGCCTGGAACCCCAGGTTTCAGCGGTGACCAGGGGAGCATTTGCACAGCTAAAGCTTGTGCGCCAGCTGCGCCCGTACCTTGGGAAGTCTGACTTGGCCACGGTAGTCCACGCTCTGGTTACATCCCGTCTAGACTACTGCAATGCTCTCTACGTGGGGTTGCCTTTGAAGACGGCTCAGAAGCTCCAACTAGACCAACGCTCAGCAGCCATGATTCTAACAGGAGCGGAACGCAGGGAGCATACAACTCCCCTGTTGCGCCAACTCCACTGGCTACCGATTTGCTACCGGACTCAATTCAAAGTGCTGGCGTTGGCCTTTAAAGCCCTAAACGGTTCTGTCCCAACTTACCTCTCCGAACGCATCTCCTCCTATGAACCAGCTAGGACTTTGAGATCTTCCGGGGAGGCCCTGCTCTTGATCCCGCCTTCTCGGTGGTGGCCCCGCAGCTGTGGAATGCCCTTCCCATGGACATTAGACTAGCTCCATCTTTAATGGTATTCCGCAAAAAAGTGAAAACCTGGTTGTTTGAGCAGGCGGTCGAATAGTCAGTGCAATGAATGTAATGAACATAGGAATGGAACAATGGATGGCGGATCTCGATCATGTTTTTAGTGATGAGACGCTAGCGAATGGCTATTGGTGTTAATTGTATATTGTTGTTAATTGTATACTTTTCTATAATATGTTATGATGTTAACTGTTTTTATACCGTGTTATGGTAGCATTGAATTTTTGCTGTTCTTGTTGTTAACTGCTGTGAGTCGCCTAAGGGCTGAGAACAGCGGTATACAAATAAAGTAAATAAATAAATAAATAAGGATCGACAGCAAACTCAGTGTTTACGTCGCTCCGAAAGGCTTCATCAGATAAGGGGAAAGTGTGGGAGAAAGCTCAACCACTTTCTCAGTTTGGGGATATAAGGTTTGCTTCAAGGGGAAACCTGTTAGATCAGGCATCGTTTGGAAATCAAGTTCATGTGCCATGGAAATCCTGTTCATGGGGTCTTGTTCATGTGGAGAATTTTAGCCTTTTGGATTGCCTTTGCTTCCTCTTGATTCCTGATTGATTGGAACTGCTTTTATATACCTTGTGTGGACATTACTTTGTGTTACTGCATTTTATTGACATTACTTTTTGGAACCTTCTTATTTCCTTACAAGCATTTATTTTTACTGGCTATTTTGTTGTTGTTGCTCATTCGTTCAGTCGTCTCCGACTCTTCGTGACCTCATGGACCAGCCCACGCCAGAGCTCCCTGTCGGCCGTCACCACCCCCAGCACCTTCAAGGTGGCTATTTACTAAGCTTCAATAAAAGAGGATTTGTGTCTTCATTCTTCGTGTGGTGTGTTTTAAAGTCAGAGGGCTTTTTCCTGACCTGGAGTGCAACAGTCTGTTGTTTTGGGTATTCACGGAGGGTCCAGGGAATGGCCCTTTTGAGACACCGTATATGGATAACAGCAGTGGGGATAAGTTTGCATTCTGGATACTGAACATGCTATGGCAAATTCGTTTTGGAAATTAGATTCTGACCATAACAACCCTCAGCTAGTATTGGTTCTGTTTTCCTTCCTGCAGCTTTCACCGAAGTGGAGTCCCTGAGTCCTTCCAAGGGCGCTCAGCTGTCGAAGGAAGAGCTGATCCATTTGAGCCAATTGAACCGTAAGCTTTGGCAGGTTCTGTTTATCGCACACTTGAGCCTGCGAAGGAGCAGGCCAATAGATAATATTGGAGGGGTTTGGGGGGAATTGACCCAGGATGCTGGGAGTTGTAGTTCACCCACATCTAGAGAGCACTGTGAACCCCACTGGTGATGGATCCAGACCAAGTTTGGCACTCATATCCACTTTAACTCTAGTAGCTGTTTAGGAGCAATGATAAGTGATGATGGGAGTTGTAGTTCACCCACATCCAGAGATCCAGACAGCAATGTGAACTCCACTGGTGATGGATCTGGACCAAGCTTGGCGCTCATACCCACTTTAACTCTTGGAGCAGTTTAAGGGCAATGACAGGTGATGATGGGAGTTGTAGTTCACCCACATCCAGAGAGCACTGTGAACCCCACTGGTGATGGATCCAGACCAAGCTTGGCACTCATAACCATCATAACCCACTTGGAGCAGTTTAGGGGCAGTGACAGGTGATGATGGGAGTTGTAGTTCACCCACATCCAGAGAGCACTGTGAACCCCACTAGTGATGGGTCCGCACCAAGGTTGGCGCTCATATCCACTTTAACTCTTGTAGCAGTTTAGGAGCAATGATAGGTGATGATGGGAGTTGTAGTTCACCCACATCTGGAGAGTACTGTGAACCCCACTGGTGATGGATCTGGACCAAGCTTGGCGCTCATATCCACTTTAACTCTAGTAGCCGTTTAGGAGCAATGATAGGTTATGATGGGAGTTGTAGTTCACCCACATCCGAAGAGCACTATGAACCCCACTGGTGATGGATCCAGACCAAGCTTGGTGCTCATACCCACTTTAACTCTTGGAGCAGTTTAGGGGCAACAACAGGTGATGATGGGAGTTGTAGTTCACCCACCTCCAGAGAGCAATGTGAACCCCACTGGTGATGGATCCGGACCAAACTTGTCACTCATACCCTTCATAACCCACTTTAATACTTGGAGCAAATTAGGGGCAACGACAGGTGATGATGGAAGTTGTATTTCACCCACCTCCAGAGATCAATGTGAACCCCACTGGTGATGGATCGAGACCAAGCTTGGCACTCATACCCACTTTAACTCTTGTAGCAGTTTAGGGGCAATGACAGGTGATGATGGGAGTTGTAGTTCACCCACCTCCAGAGAGCACTGTGAACCCCACTGGTGATGGATCTGGACCAAACTTGGTGCTCATACCCATCATAACCCACTTTAACTCTTGAAGCAGTTTAGGGACAATGATAGGTGATGGTGGGAGTTGTAGTTCACCCACATCCAGAGAGCACTGTAAACCCCACTGGTGATGGATCCGGACCAAACTTGACACTCATACCAATCATGACCCACTTTAACTCTTGCAGCAGTTTAGGGGCAATGACAGGGGATGATGGGAGTTGCAGTTTACCCACATAATGATGCATTTTCTAACTGGTTCATTCATTAAATCCAGAAAACAAATAATGCCTTTTCCCAATAGATAGCATTACAAATGGATTGTAATGCAATGGGTTGGACATTAACAGCAGTTTAAATTGTTTTTATTGTCTTAATTGCGTAAATAGTTTATTGTTTTATTATAGTGGCTTATGTGCTTGGTCTTGTGTTAATTTCGATTGTGTAATTGCTTATGTTACTAATTGGATTGTTTACTTACTATATTTATGTCTGTAAGCTGCTTTGAGTCTCTTGTTGGGAGATGGGCAGCAATCAAATCAAGTATTATTATTATTATTATTAGTAGTAGTAGTAGTAGTAGTAGTAGTGTAGGAGTATTACAAAACCTAACCTGGGCATCGCCAGGTACCTGAACTAGCCCTAAATAAATAATCTAGTGGCTTCATGTTGCTGTTGTGTGCCTTCAGTTGATCCCCACTGATGGTAACCACCACCCCTACACTACACTGACTTGATGTCCCATTCATCCTTGTGTGGTACTTCTCCTCCGTTTCCCTCCTAGTTTCTTCTCCTGGGGACAGTGTGGATGCAGATGGGTTGAAGATGAGCCCTGAAAAAGGTAATGTAATTCAGATTTACACCGAGAAGATTGTTGTTCTGTTACTTTAGGATTGCAGGGATACAGGTTTATAAAGGCTAAAATTGACCAAAATGGTGACTGAAAATGAAATTGAATTTAAAACTCTTATGAGGATGGGGGACTGTTTTTGGAGCTTCTCTACCTTATTACAATATTGATTGTTAATCAATGAAGGTTGGATTGTTCATCGGTTGTGTGGTACTTCTCCTCCGTTTCCCTCCTAGTTTCTTCTCCTGGGGACAGTGTGGATGCAGATGGGTTGAAGATGAGCCCTGAAAAAGGTAATGTAATTCAGATTTACACCGAGAAGATTGTTGTTCTGTTACTTTAGGATTGCAGGGATACAGGAAGAGTTCTAGCATCATGCCAGCATCACAAGTAAACAATTTACAGAAACATGAGCTGGTTGTTGTTGGCAAGCCTCACCCTCCCACCCACCCACCCACCCACCCTCCCTCCCCTCCCTCCTTCCCTTCCCTTCTTTCCCTTCCTTCCCTTCCTTCCTTCCCTCCCTTCTTCCCTTCCCTTCTCCCTTCCCTTCCCTCCCTCCCTCCCTCCCTCCCTCCCTCCCTCCCTTCCTTCCTTCCTTCCTTCCTTCCTTCCTTCCTTCCTTCCTTCCTTCCTGTGGGTATCAGATTTCAGCAAATATTTTTCTTTTGGTTAGAAAACATAAAAGGAAAAAGAGAGGGAAGGGGGAGGAATGAGGGAAGGAAGGAAGGAGAGAAAGAGAAGGAGGAAGGACAGAAGGAAGGAAGGAGGGAAAGAGAAGGAGGAAGGACAGAAGGAAGGAAGGAGGGAAAGAGATAGAGAAGGAGGAAGGAAATAAGGGAGGAAGGAAGAGGAAAGAGAGGGAAGGGGAGGGAAGAGGGAAGGAAGGAAGGCGGAAAAGAGAGGGAATGAGGGAAGGAAGGAGGGAAAGAGAGAGAAGGAGGAAGGAAATAAGGAAGGAAGAAGAAAGAGAGGGAAGGAGAGGAAAGAGGGAAGGAAGGAAGGAAGGAAGAAGGGAAAGAGAGGGAGGAAGAAAATAAGGAAAGAAGAAGAAAGAGCGGGAAGGGAGGAAAGAAGGAAGGAAGGCGGGAAAGAGAGAGGGAATGAGGGAAGAAAGGAGGGAAAGAGAAGGAGGAAGGAAATAAGGAAGGAAGAAGAAAGAAAGAGAGGGAACAGGGAGGAAAGGGGGAAGGAAGGCAGTAAAGAGAGGGAACGAGGGAGGAATGAGGGAAGGAATGAAGGAAGGAAAGGAGGGAAGAGAAGGAAGAAGGACATAAGGAAGGAAGAAGAAAGAGAGGGAAGGAAGGAAGGTGGGAAAGAGAGGGAACGAGGGAGGAAGGAAGGAGGGAAAGAGAAGGAGGAAGGAAATAAGGAAGGAAGAAGAAAGAGCGGGAAGGGGGAGGAAAGAGGGAAGGAAGGAAGGCGGGAAAGAGAGAGGGAAGGAGGGAGGAATGAGGGAAGGAAGGAAGGAGGGAAAGAGAAGGAGGAAGAAAATAAGGAAGGAAAGAGGAAGAAAGAGAGGGAAGGGGGAGGAAAGGGAGAAGGAAGAAAGGAGAAAGAGAGGGAAGGAGGGAGGGAAGGAAGGAAGGTCAAAAGGGAAGGAGGGAAAGAAAGAGAAGGCAGAAGGAAATAAGGAAGGAAGGAGAAAGAGACAGAGGGAAGGAGGGAGGAAAGAGGGAAGGACAAAAGGGAAGGAAGGAGGGAAAGGAAGTCCTTCCCTCTTTCCTCCCTCCTTCCCTCGCTCTCTTCCTTTCCTCCCTCCTTCCCTGCCTGCCTTCACCTCCATCTTCCCTTTGCCCTTCGCATGGGGAGTCTCAGGCTGGCCATGGCTGCTGGGTGTCCCATTGCCGCCCTCCTCCTGGCAGCCGCCTTGGCTGCCTCCCCCCGCCCCGGAGTTAAAAGTGGGCCAAACTGCATCTGTTCTACAATGTGTGTCCGAGCTACAGCCTGTCTTCATGGCTAGTCCTCACTCGGCGGTGGTAGGGATGGCCAGCTTGCTACGGATGGTTGTTCGTTGGTTTTCCTTCTCACGGGGGATTCATGAATGCGTTATAATTTTTTTTTGGAGGTTTTAGAGTCCCTTTCGCTGCTTTTTAGTGTTTTTTTTAGTGATGGTCACTCCTTGGGTTAGTGGGTGTCTTGTTGAAGCTGTTTGCAATTTATAATGTAGATTTCAAAGTATGTATGTATGTTTAAAATGCAGTAGTTATGTGCCGAGTGTAATGTATTCCTGTGTGGAAAGAGTTAACCGAACTATGGAAGGAATGGCATTCCTAGAGAGGTCAAAAATCAAGTGTATAGAACAAATGGATGTGTCGTATATCATCTGTTTGGAATGCAAGAGGTGTGGACTAGTACTGATAACGGTCAGTGAGTTCGCAATGTTACGATCGGACGGTGAAGATGCAAGTTTAAGATGTGCTGAGTTTAAAGTAGCTTCTAATGTATATAGCTGTAAAATAAAGTAGTTTATAGCCTAAAGTGGCTTTGATTGATCTGTTCCTGCCTTGCTGTGCTGCCGATGTCACTGACGTGTCTTGTGGCTAAACTTGGTGACATTTCATCCAGTGGTTTTTGAGTTATGATGTCACTAAAAACAAACAGAACTATTAGATAGATAGATAGATAGATAGATAGATAGATAGATAGATAGAGAGATAGAGAGATAGATTACCCTTTTATTTCATAGAATCCTAGAATCCTAGAGTTGGAAGAAGCCTCCTGGGCCATCATCCAGTCCAACCCCATTCTGCCAAGAAGCAGGAATATTGCATTCAAATCACCCCTAACAGATGGCCACCCAGCCTCTGTTTCAAAGCTTCCAAAGAAGGAGCCTCCACCACGCTCTGGGGCAGAGAGTTCCACTGCTGAACGGCTCTTACAGTCAGGAAGTTCTTCCTCGTGTTCAGATGGAATCTCCTCTCTTGTAGTTTGAAGCCATTGTTCCATTGCGTCCTAGTCCCCAAGGAAGCAGAAAACAAGCTGGCTCCCTCCTCCTCCCTGCGGCTTCCTCTCACATATTTATTATCCATGGCTATCATGTCTCCTCTCAGCCTTCTCTTCTTCAGGCTAAACATGCCCAGCTCCTTAAGCCACTCCTCATAGGGCTTGTTCTCCAGACCCTTGATCATTTGAGTCACCCTCCTCTGGACACATTCCAGCTTGTCTATATTTCTCTTGAATTGTGGTGCCGAGAATTGGACACAATATTCCAGGTGTGGTCTCACCAAAGCGGAATAGCGCATGGGGAGCATGACTTCCCTAGATCTAGACACTAGGCTCCTCTTGATGCAGACCAAAATCCCATTGGCTTTTTTTGCCGCCACATCACATTCCTGGCTCATGTTCCCCTTCCTCCCCACGAAAACTCCCAAGATCTTTTCCACACGTCCTGCTCTCGAGCCAGGCCTCATCGTCCCCCATTCTGTCTCTTTGCATTTCGTTTTTTCTGCCTAAGTGGAGTCTCTTGCATTTGTCCCTGTTGAACTTCATTTTGTTAGTTTTGGCCCTTCATCTCTCTAATCTGTCAAGATCGTTTTGAATCCTGCTCCTGTCCTCTGGAGTCTTGGCTCTCCCTCCCCATTTGGTCCCGTCTGCAAACTTGATGATCCTGCCTTCTAGCCCTTCATCCAAATCATTAATCAAGATCCTGATCAGGACCGGGCCCAGGACGGAACCCTGCGGATGGCACTCCACTTGTCACTTCTTTCCAAGATGAAGAGGAAGCCTTGGGGAGAATCACCCTCTGGGTTCGTCCATTTAACTATTTCCAGATCCACCTCACCGTAGTTTTGCCTCGCCCACATTGGACTGGTTTCCTTGCCAGAAGGTCATGGGGGACCTTGTCAAAGAAGACCTTCCTGAAATCCAGATATGCTCCATCCACGACATCATTCCCCGCATCTACCCAGCTTGTAACTCTATCGAAAAAAGAGATCAGATGCGCCTGGCATGACTTGTTTTTGATAAATCCGTGCTGACTTTGAGCGATGACCGCATTCTTTTCTAAGTGTTTGCAGACCACTTCCTTCACAATCTTTCCCACAATCTTGCCTGGTATTGACATGAGGCTGACCGGACATTGGTCATTGTTTGGGTCATCCTTTTTTCCCTTCTTGAAGATTGGGACCACATTGGCCCTCCTCCAATCTGCTGGAACTTCTCCCGTTCTTCAAGAACTCTCCAAGATGGTTGCCAATGGGTCCGAAATGACTTCAGCTCGTTCCTTCAGTACTCTTGGGTGTCGTTGATCTGGCCCTGAAAGGGGACTGGAACTCATTTAGAACGGCCAGGTATTTGATGGTAATTTATTGTCTCCCAAACAGGGAAAGGGAAAGTTGATATCCAGGCCTATCTGAAGCAGTGGCAAGATGAACTCCTTAAGAAAGAAGAAAGCATTAAAGACCTGCCTCGAATGGGCCAGGTAAGATTCGGTTGTGTTATAATGATTTCCTGTTTTGTAATGATAACAGAATGATACTAGAACTTGCAATAATAATGTTTTGAATATATGTATGTATTTAGATTTATTTTTTAAATGGTTACAAATGAGATTCTGCATCGTATTCGTACGGAAAGCACAAGAAAGAAGGGATGAAGAGAGAACGTGAGGCAGAAAGGAGGGAGGGGGAAAGTGTGAGGAAGAAGGGAAGGAGGAAGTGAATGCACGAGGCAGAAAGGGGATGAGAAAGTGTGAGGAAGAAAGTATTTATTTATTTATTTATTTATCGTGTCAGGCAACCAAAAAGTTGTATTACGTTTTTGACAGAACAAACATACAAAAGACAGAGTTTGCATATAGTAAGCCGCTCTGAATCCCCTTCGGCTGAGAAGGGCAGCATATAAATATTGTAAATAATATTAAATTTATAATATTGTAATGTAATGCAATATAATACTAATAATATGATATTATAATTATATATTTATATTGCGTGTAATATCTATATATATAAATTTGTTAGGGGCATCCAACGAGGAAACAAAACTCAAAAACCCCCCAACGAAACTTAACCAAAATTCCCATGCCCATAACACAACCCACAAGGTACAAACATATCTACTCAAAATGAAAAACAACACAACAACACACTCACAAAACGGCAAAACAACAAAACTCAAAAACCCCCAACAAACTTAACCAAAATTCCCATGCCCATAACACAACCCACAAGGTACAAACATATCTACTCAAAATGAAAAACAACACAACAACACACTCACAAAACGGCAAAAGGATAAAACTCTAAAAAAAACCAACGAAACTTAACCAAAATTCCCATGCTCATAACACAACCCACAAGGTACAAACATATTACTCAAAATGAAAAACAACACAACAACACACTCAAAACGGCAAAAAAACAAAACTCAAAAAAACCCCAACGAAACTTAACCAAAATTCCCATGCCCATAACACAACCCACAAGGTACAAACGTATATCTACTCAAAATGAAAAACAACACAACAACACACTCACAAAACGGCAAAACAACTGAGCATGCGCATTGGCGCCCAGCCGCAAGTTCCCTGGCGCGCGCACATGGCATTCCGGCCAACGTTCCCTCTGCGGAAACCATGCCCACTCCAAGCCCCGCCGCGCCGCTTCCCACACACACACACCCCTGCCGCACATACACACACAACCCCACACTCCATCACTCCCCCCGCCGCCGCACACACACACGCAACCCCACTCCCCCCGCCGCCGCACACACACACACAACCCCACGCTCCATCACTCCCCCCGCTGCCGCACACACACACGCAACCCCACTCCCCCCGCCGCACACACACACACAACCCCATGCTCCATCACTCCCCCCGCCGCCGCACACACACAGGCAACCCCCTCCTCCTCCGCCCCGCACACACACACACACAACCCCACGCTCCATCACTCCCCCCGCCGCACACACACAGCAACCCCACGCTCCATCACCCCCCCCCCAATCTTACCTCCTTTTACTTCACGCCACCTCCAAACCCCACCCCGCCCCTTCCCGCCATGTCAAAATCTAGGAAAGACAGGAAGGAAGGAAAGAAGGAAGAAAGAGAAAGGGAGGTAAAGAAAAAGGGGGAAGGAAGGAAAGTTAGAGAAAGAAGGAAGAAGAAAAGGAAAGAAAAGGAAAGATGGAAGGAAAGAAAAGAGAGACAGCAGAAAAGAAAGAAAAAGGGGGAAGGAAGGAAAGAGATAGAGAAAGAAGAGGAGAAGGAAAGATGGGAGGGAAGGAAGGAAGGAAGGAGGGAAAGAAGGAGAGAAAGAGGGAAGATTGGCCACAGCAACACGTGGCGGGTAAAGGTTGTTATTTCTATTATTATTATTATTATTATTATTTTATTATTATGCTATTGTTCCTATGAGACCCTGGGGGAATGGGAGAGGTGTCAGGTCCCAGAGGCAATGCATTGCATTATTGTTATTGTTATGCTGGTGGTGAAATAAAAGGAAATAAAAAGAGAAAGAAGGAAGCAAACAGGGAGGGAAGAAAGGCAAAGGAAGAAAGGGGAGGGAATGAAGGAAAGAGAGAAGGATGAAACCAAGTAGTGAAAGAAGAAGAAAGAGGTAGAGAAGGAAGAAAGGAGAGAAAGGGGGAGGAAAAGGGGGAAGGAATAGGTAGGGACCTCTCTTTCATAATAGTCCAGGTATCTACCTCAACTTTGATAAGTTTTACTATAGGCCACAGCAACGCGTGGCAGGGCACAGCTAGTTACTAATAATATTATAATATAATGGTATAGTACAATATAGTAACATTTAATACCGATATTGTACTATGGTAATAATATAATATATTGTGTGTGTGTGTGTGTGTGTGTGTATTGGGTAAGGCTTGGGTAAGTTCGTTGGTTAGTTTCTAAAATCGTAATTAATTCGGATTAAATTACCTTTTGATCCAATTTCGAGCCATGCAGGAATAGTGGGAGGAGCAATTCGGAACTGAAACAACTTCCTCATTGTTCAGAATTATTTTTGGATGTGGCTTTGCACACCCGGCGATGCAAAGTGGGACGAGATGGGCGTGGCTAAGCACAGCTCTTCCTGAAGGCCACGCCCCCAGCGACCTCCAAGGAGAGCTGCCTTAGCCCCGCCCACCCCGTCCCTCTGCATCGCAGCTCCCCAGAAGAGAAGGGAAACGGCGAGATTTTAATGATTCTGGAGGGAGGGAGGGGCACCTTCCATTAACGAAGCAAACAAAGCGTTTCGTATTTCCGATCTTTTTTTCAAGAAAATTTCGGAAATAATTTCAAAATCGAATCGCCAGCGCCCCCTACATCCGAAACGAGTTTTGAACCTTTTTTTTTTTTTGGATCACCCAAGCCTAATATATATATATTGTAAGCCGCTCTGAGTCTCCTTCGGGGTGAGAAGTGCGGCATATAAATGTCATAAATAAATAAAATGAGTACATACATTAAATTACATTCATTTTTTAAAAAACCTCAAAACAACAAGTCTGCAAAAAGCGAACCGCAAAGTACAAGAGAACACTGTATTTTTAATTACGTTGCGGTGGATTATTTTGGCACCAAATCCAGGTCTTACCAACCAGTCTTCTGCTCTCTCCCTTCCCCAGTCCCAGTTTATCCAGTTTTCAAAGACTTTGTATAACTTGTTCCACGGCGACCCGGAGGAGGAGCTGCTCTATCGCGCCATTGCCACCGTGACCAGCCTTTTGCTGCGGATGGAGGAGGTCGGCCGCAAACTCCAGAGCCCCACTTCGCCGGGGAAAAGCGCAACGCTTCCAATGTCCGACGGCAACGTGGGAGATGCCCGGGGTCCCCAGGAGGCGCAGACTGACGACGCATCAGCCGCAGCGCTCCAGAGCCCGAGCAGAGCCACCGGCGAGTGGTCCTTTGCTTTCGAGCAAATTCTGGCCTCCCTGATGAACGAGCCTGCGTTGGTGAAGTTTTTCGAGAAGCCGGTCAACGTCAAAGCCAAGCTGGAGGACGCAAAAGCTTCCCAGTTAAAAGCCAAAGCCCGGGTATAGCGCTGGTGGTCTTTCTCTCGCCGTTTTGTGCTCAGAAACAAAGCGGAAGCATACACTGACTTCCTCTCGGGAGGTTGGTCTTGAGGATTGACGACGGGTCGTTTTGTGTTTTCGGCAGAGTCGAGTAAAGTCTAGCTTTGATGCACAGTTGCACTTCAGCTTTGCGTTTCAGTCCACGTTGGAGGCTTCAGGCACGCAGTCGGCGCACGCCGGAACATTAAGAGGATGTGGTTGCCGAATATTCCAGGTGGTTGCGTTGCCGAGCTGCAGTTCTGTTTCTCACACTGAATGTACCGCCGGCCACATTCCCTCAAACGTGGTCTTGAGGTCCACGTGCCGTAATGTATGCCCCAAAGAATCACTTCTGTCACTTTGAATGTCGGTCTGGTCACTTGAGTGAGGTTATTATTACGTGGCTATTATCCTTACATTGAAATGCTTGGAAAAGTTACAGATTCTGGCTACTTCCCTATTGGCATGATGTCTAACCAGGGCTTGAGGAAGTTACTTTTCTGTACTACAACCTCTGGAGAACCCTGACCTCTGGGAGGATATAGTTCATCGGAGTAACTTTCCAAGTCCCTGTAACTACCACATATTTCTAGGTTGTGTGTGTATGTGTCAGGAGTGACTTGAGAAACTGCAAGTCGCTTCTGGCGTGAGAGAATTGATCGTCTACAAAGACGTTGTCCAGGTGACGCCCGGATGTTTTTGATGTTTTACCGTCCTTGTGGGAGGCCACTCGTATGCACAGCTGGAGCTGACAGAGGGAGCTCCACCACAGAATTGGCCATCTACAAGGACGTTGCCCAGGTGACGCCCGGATGTTTTGGATGTTTTACCATCCTTGTGGGAGGCCGCTCGCATGCAAAGCTGGAGCTGACAGAGGGAGCTCAACCAGAGAATTGGCCGTCTGCAAGGACGTTGCCCAGGTGACGCCCGGATGTTTTGAATGTTTTAGTATCCTTGTGGGAGGCCGCTCTCATGCAAAGTTGGAGCTGTCAGAGGGAGCTCAACCAGAGAATTGGCCGTCTGCAAGGACGTTGCCCAGGTGACGCCCGGATGTTTTGGATGTTTTACTATCCTTGTGGGAGGCTGCTCGTATGCAGAGCTGGAGCTGACAGAGGGAGCTCAACTCGTTCTCCCTGGTTTCAAACCCTGCCAGCACAAGGGTGTAACCCAGGGGTCCTCAAACTATGGCCCGCGGGCCGGATACGGCCCTCCAAGGTCATTTACCCGGCCCTCGCTCAGGGTCAACCTAAGTCTGAAATGACTTGAAAGCACACAACAACAACAATACAATCTCATCAGCCAAAAGCAGGCCCACACTTCCCACTGAAATACTAATAAGTTTATATTTGTAAAAATTGGGTCGTTGTAAGTTTTTTCGGGCTATATGGCCATGTTCTAGAGGCATTCTCTTCTGACGTTTCGCCTGCATCTATGGCAAGCATTCTCAGAGGGAGTGAGGTCTGTTGGAAACTAGGAAAAAGGGGTTTTAGATATCTGTGGAATGATGACCAGGGTGGGGCAAGGAGCTCTTCCCTGCTGGAGCTAGGTGTGAATGTTTCAACTGACCACCTTGATTAGCATTTGATGGCCTGGCCGTGCCTGGGGCATTCTTTTGTTGAGGGGTGATTAGATTTCCCTGATAGTTTCCTCTCTGTTGTTGTGCTGTTCTAATTTCACCACTCTCACAACCACCATGTCAGACTACACAGAGAAGCCATTGAAATCCACAAGCATGTGGACAATTTCAACAAAAAGGAGGAAATCATGAAAATGAACAAAATCTGGCTACCAGTATTAAAAAACTCTAAAATCACAACAGCAAAACAACAGAGAGGAAACAATCAGGGACATCTGTGGTGAGAGAGAGAGACTATTTCCTCTTTAAAAAACCTCTTTGCTGCCTTATACCAATTCAGTTTCTTCTTTTATATTGGCTGGGACTTTCTGTGTGCTGTTAAACCTTTGTACTTTATATCACAGGCAATGAAACACTCCTGTGTTTCATTGTGTTTCATGAAACACAAAGTAACACAGTTTATTTATAACTTCTGGCTCCAACGCTTGTGGTTACATTTGTGTTTTGTTGCAATCTTGAGGTTTACAGTCAGTATCATTTACTTGGTTAACTTTTTCCTTGGGACAGCTAATCACCTCTCAACAAAAGATTGCCCCAGGCACGCCCAGGCCATCAAATGCTAATCAAGGTGGTCAGTTGAAACATTCCCACCTAAAATTAAAAGTTTTGAGGACCCCTGGTGTAACCCATTGTGTCACTGGGAGCTCCAAGTTGGTGGTTAGGGTTTGAGTTGTGTTTTCTGAGACATCCTTTTTGCTTGGCTGCGTGTTTCTTTATCCTTCTGCCTTAATTTGGTGCAATTTGTGGTACCTCAGTGGCATGGAAGCTTTCCTTCCAAAATTATGCAGGCTTAGTAGAGTGGTGTGGTTGCTCGCCATGTCGATGGCATCTAGGAAAGGAGCCCCAACGTTCAGCATTACTTTTGGTTCCTGCATATGGACCTCGCTGGGCCCAACTGGGCCAAGCTGCTCTTGGTGTTTTGTTTTTCTTTCACAATATTTTTTATAGTTGTTACAATATTTTGCTTACATTTAGTTTCTATTGGTGCTCACACTTGCACACTTCTCATTTTCATGTAGTTGCTGGAATTTATAGTTCACCTACAATCACAGAGTATTCTGAATCCCACCAACGATAGAATTGGGCCAAACCTCCCACACAGAACCCTCATGTGGCCACAGCAACGCGTGGCAGGGGACGGCTAGTGTGTGTGTATATATATATAAATATTCATTCGTTGGATTGACATAACTCAAAAACCACTGGACAAATTGACACCAAATTTGGACACAAGACACCTCTCAGGCCAATGAGTGACCACCACTCATAAAAACACTGAAAAACACAGCAGAAGGGACTTAAAAAGCCAATAAAATAAAATAAAAAACACATTACATTACAATGTTTGCACATAACCACATAAATACACATATACACACACATATAAACACACACAAAACAGACTGGGCCACAGCAACGCGTGGCAGAGGACGGCTAGTTCCGTATAAACCTTTATTCTTCACTAGCTGTACCCACCACTAGCTGTACCCACCTTCCCTCTTTCTCCCCTTCTTTCCCTCCTTCCTTCCCTCCCTCTTTCCTTCCTTCCTTCCTTCCTTCCTCTTTTCATTGTCTACTTTAAAATTCTGTTAATTATCTGTGGTCTTTTTTAACCCAGCCTTTCCACTTTCTTCAATGGCTTTCTTCAGTAGTTGTTCCACATCTTTGCTATTTTCTGCTTATAGTGTTATGTCATCTGTATATCTTAAATTGTAGGTTTTACTTCCTCAGATTTTGATGCCTCATTCTTCTGGGTCTTATCTTTGCTCTATATATGTCTCTTTCCTTCCCTCTTTCTCTACATCTTCCTTCCTTCGCTCCCTCTTTCCTTCCTTGTTTCCTTTCTTTTTTCTTCCTTCCTTCCTTCCTAACTTTCCTTCCTTCCCCTTTTCTTTCCCTCCCTCTTTCTCTCCTTCTTCTCTCTCTTCCGCTTCCTTCTCCCTTTCCTTTTTTCTTTCCCTCCCTCCCTTTCTTTTCCTTCTTTTCTTCTCCCCTTTCTTCCCCTTTTCTGTATTGTCATTTAGCTTTTTGTCATTTAGCTTTGGGGGGCTTTTAAAGTCCCTTCTGCTGTGTTTTTCAGTGTTTTTATGAGCGAAGAACGTAAATTGGGTTGTTGTGTGTTTTGAGTCCAAATTTGGTGTCAATTCCCCCAATGGTTTTTGAGTTCTGTTAATCCCACAAACGAACATTACATTTTTATTTATATAGATATTGCTTTTCTGTTAATTTCCACCACTTTTGGTCAGTCCCTTTCTCGTATAGACACTATAGAGGTGTCCATTTAGATCAGGGGTCCTCAAACTACAGCCCGCGGGCCAGCCCCGGCCCCCCAAGGGCATTTATCTGGCCCGCAGGGTGTGGAGAAGCGTGAGTGAACTGGCCTCCTGTTTACAAAGTTTGAGGACCCCTGATTTAGATGTTACTGTCATCCATTTTGACTGCCATAATTTGAGAGTTGTCATTGCTGGGATTTATAGTTCACCTACAATCAAAGAGCATTCTGAACTCCACCAGCAATGATTTTGAGCCTAATTTGCTGCACAGAACTGCCATGACCGATGGAAAACACTGGAAGGGTTTGATGGGCATTGACCTTGAGTTTGGGAGTTGTAGTTCACCTATATCCAGAGAGCACTGTGGACTCACGCAATGGTGGATCTGGACCAAACTTGGCACAAATATTCAATATGCGCAAATGTGAACACTGGTGGAGTCTGGGGAAAATAGACCTTGACTTTTGGGAATTGTAATTGCTGGGATTTATAGTTCACTACAATCAAAGAACTGTCCTGAACTCCACCAACGATAGAATTGGCTCAAACTTCCCACATGGAATCCCCATGACCATCAGAAAATACTGTGTTTTCTGATGGTCTTTGGCGACCCCTCTGACACTCCTTCGCGACCCCCTCTGGGGTCCCGACCCCCAGGTTGAGAAACACGGTTCTAACCCTTTATCTCTCTTCTCAGTCTTAATTTCTAGTAATGATTTTAGTTGGACTGCCTTATAATAGAGCTCCAAATTGTGTACTCCCTGCTGCTCTTGGTGTCTTTGCTCATGCGTGAATTGAGTTTTGGGAGGCGGAGTGCCTTCTGAGGTACAGACCAACCTTGTATGTGATGGTAATGATTAACGTTGTTGTTAGAGACTGGGCTGGAATAAGATGGTGAAGATTTTTGTCAACGATGTTGAGCAACCATGTGATGTCCTTCTGGAGTCCACAGCCCCTCAAAGACAGTTCTAAATTGAAATCAAGTTCACAAGAAACCAAGCTCACAATCATTTGGAGACAAAGGATGTATTTCCTTCTTTCCTCAGCCCCTCAAAGACAGTTTTCTAATGGCAAGAGCATAAGGCAGATCCCTCTACTATTATTACTGTTGACATCTCGCCACCAACCAATGCTTTGTGTTTCCTGGTAGGCCAAAGTCTGATATTGGAAACAGATATAGGAAAGGATTCTGTAAATCTGTTCTTGGGAGCAAATGCTTGTAAATAGATGCATTGGAGTTCACTCTGGAGAGATTGTTCAAAAGATGGATTCGGTTTCTTTTTTGTGCCTTGATGTCTTTCCCCGCAAGCCTATATGTGCCTACCTGTTTCAATAGCATTATATATCTCACACATTGCCGATCCCCCCTGTAATTACCAGAGTATTTAAAACATGGGTCTCATTCACACTACGCAGTTGTCGCACTTGGATGCCACCTTAACTTGCATGAAGTTCAGGATTGTGTAGTTTTGTCAGGTATTTTGAATGCCCTGTTAATGTAAGACTGGAAGATCTTGGAGTTGAAATCAAGCTCACAAGAAATCAAGCTCACAATCATTTGGAGGCAAATGATTTATTTCCTTCTTTCCTCAGTCCCTCAAAGGCAGTTCTGAGTTGAAATCAAGTTCACAAGAAATCAAGCTCACAATCATTTGGAGGCAAATGATTTATTTCCTTCTTTCCTCAGTCCCTTAAAGACAGTTCTGAGTTGAAATCAAGTTCACAAGAAATCAAGCTTACAATCATTTGGAGGCAAATGATTTATTTCCTTCTTTCTTCATTCCCTCAAAGACAGTTCTGAGTTGAAATCAAGTTCACAAGAAATTAAGCTCACAATCATTTGGAGATGAATGATTTATTTCCTTCTTTCTTCATTCCCTTAAAGACAGTTCTGAGTTGAAATCAAGTTCACAAGAAATCAAGCTCACAATCATTTGGAGACGAATGATTTATTTCCTTCTTTCTTCATTCCCTCAAAGACAGTTCTGAGTTGAAATCAAGTTCACAAGAAATCAAGCTCACAATCATTTGGAGGCAAATGATTTATTTCCTTCTTTCTTCATTCCCTTAAAGACAGTTCTGAGTTGAAATCAAGTTCACAAGAAATCAAGCTCACAATCATTTGGAGACGAATGATTTATTTCCTTCTTTCCTCAGTCCCTCAAAGACAGTTCTGAGTTGAAATCAAGTTCACAAGAAATCAAGCTCACAATCATTTGGAGATGAATGATTTATTTCCTTCTTTCTTCATTCCCTTAAAGACAGTTCTGAGTTGAAATCAAGTTCACAAGAAATCAAGCTCACAATCATTTGGAGACGAATGATTTATTTCCTTCTTTCTTCATTCCCTCAAAGACAGTTCTGAGTTGAAATCAAGTTCACAAGAAATCAAGCTCACAATCATTTGGAGACGAATGATTTATTTCCTTCTTTCTTCATTCCCTCAAAGACAGTTCTGAGTTGAAATCAAGTTCACAAGAAATCAAGCTCACAATCATTTGGAGACGAATGATTTATTTCCTTCTTTCTTCATTCCCTCAAAGACAGTTCTGAGTTGAAATCAAGTTCACAAGAAATCAAGCTCACAATCATTTGGAGACGAATGATTTATTTCCTTCTTTCTTCATTCCCTCAAAGACAGTTCTGAGTTGAAATCAAGTTCACAAGAAATCAAGCTCACAATCATTTGGAGGCAAATGATTTATTTCCTTCTTTCTTCATTCCCTTAAAGACAGTTCTGAGTTGAAATCAAGTTCACAAGAAATCAAGCTCACAATCATTTGGAGACGAATGATTTATTTCCTTCTTTCCTCAGTCCCTCAAAGACAGTTCTGAGTTGAAATCAAGTTCACAAGAAATCAAGCTCACATCATTTGGAG